CCAGCAAAAACAACACCGATGATAACAGTGCGCACGATACGGGCTCTAAGTGCGATTCAAACGCGACTCAAAATTTAAAAATGCTACAGAAACTAATGAGAGCGAGTGAGAAACACAGAAACCAAACAGGAACGAAAGAGACAGAGAATTAACTGACGGTGATGACAAAAAATTGATTCCAAGTACTGAGCAAAGAATATCCGAATATCCACGACTATATAAATAAATATATTAAAAACTTAAGAATATGCTATACAACTTTATGAAAACTACTTGTTACAACATTCATGAAAATGAAAATCGACTCGTGTAGTGGAAAGTTTTCAAGAATATGAATTACAGAAAACGTATGTTCTTGAAAATCAGCTATGATAAAGAGATGGTTATTCCAGAAAGGAAAAATGCAAATGTAATAAAACGGAAATAATAATTGACCTCAACAAATTATTGGATGCCCTCACAAAATATCATAGAACTTATTAATTTTGATAAATACTGCAAGAACATTGTCAAGCCTAGAAAAAAGTGGATAATTATAATAATTATATCAATGAACTGTATGATTGCGTTGATTTTTGTAATAAATATAATATAAAGAAATAAAAAATATAATCTACTAATGTTCTCATCAGTGTTATAGTAACATCATTATTTGAATGCCCACATTTCTATGCACAATGTTATATTTTGTGTATAAATTACAGACGCGCAGTGTCACTAAGTGGCCATAATATGGTGGCACCATATGCTATAATAAGTTATTTAATATAATACACTTGCACCACTACACAAATTTTGATTTATAATAATTATTCTGTTTATAAAATAAATTAAACTATTGGTATAAGAAAAAATCTTAACATTTGCTATAATTCTATGTATTAAGTACACTAACTTGTATTCCTTTTTACGTGTCATAAGGAGCAACGGCAGCAAAGAGAAAATTAGTGTTATTTGCCTAAATTATGAACGTCCGTTTAGCGTGTTTGCGTAATAAGCATGTGCCTCTGCGAAAAACGGCGAAAAGGGCGTTTAGTTAAAAATTTTATCATCGTAATATGATAAACACTGCAGCGTTTAAACTCCGCACAATATAAATTTACGCGTTGCTACAAAAAAAAATTGTATAAAAATTTAACAAAAAAAAAGTATATACGGAAACTGCGACAATGTGCGCGAAACAACGATAATATTCATAACTCTTATCGCCACGAACATATTTATAATATAGTAAAATGTAACACCCAACCTATAATAAATTCTGGTGAAAAGTTTCGCGTTCGGATTTTCTGTTGCTACGCAAAACTTGCACAATTTTCACGACTATCAGCAAATGTTTGGTTATATAAGTTTCCATATTTACTTTTCAGTAAATCAACTATTAAACACTCTTGAAAAATATTTTTTTATAGACAATATTAATTATTTTAAAAATCGTGATTTTTTTCTTATAATTACAAAAAACGCTTCAATCAATTTTGAGTTAAAAAAAATAGACATTTTTTATAAGATTCTTTTAATAAATCAATTCTTTAATTACTTATACTTCTACAATATATAGATAAATAAAAGATTTGCGCATCATTAAATGAACGCGCACAACGCATTGCTCACTGTTGTTTTATGTGTAGATATTATGCACATATAGTGTCACTTAGAATGCGCACATCGTTATGCGCAAAGTTACGTTATTATCTTATTGAACAATTACATAAAATATTTTAATACATCATTATCAGAATCATAAGAAGAAATATTCGATACTTAAATTATTTGCAATATAGAAAAATATATAAAAATTCATCATTAAGAAAATTTCCAAAATTTCTAAATGAAAATAGTACAATAAATCAAAGTAGGCATAACTTCTAGAAAACCCATAGCGTAAGTAGTTCTAAAGCACTCAGATTATTACCATTGTTCACTCCACTCTTCTTTGTTCAAGAAATGCATTCGGCAGCTTTTAAATTGGCACAACTCAATCGTCGTTTCAACCCCCATCAAATTTTCCGCCCCGTGAAGTTCAAAACCGCTCGCCGCTCTCATTCCGCAAGTATAATTAAGGAAGAAAACGTCGGAGAGAAAAAAATATAAACCAAAAAAAAAACAAAATTCAGCTGCATTTGAGAATTGCCGTAAGAAATTGCGATTGATTGCCGCACGAGCGACGAATTATAGATGGAAATTGTCGTGGAAAGGAAAATCCACAGTTTCCGGTGTCACAACAGTTTTCCTCGCGATTTCCGTGATCGATCGAGGCATGCGAAAAATTCACGATTAATTGGCGAGCCGATAAATCCAATCCAAATCGCGAACCGAACTTAATTGGGTCGCCAGACTAATATCATTTCGGATGCGGATTTATTTCGAGCACCATCAAGCAAAGCTGCCGTTATTTATAACCGGAGGATAAGTCTTTTAAAGGGTGAAGCTGCCGGCACCCAATCAGGACCATCAAATTATTTCCATCTGTAATAAAGAGTGGTAATCATACTAGATTATATGAAGTTGATGAATCATTGCTTTCACAGCTTGTATAAAATTCTTATCAACGAGCGGCGGATAAACTTTTTATGCTTATGCACACGTCCTGCATAGATGTAGTTATTGAATCTTTGTTCTTAGCGAAACGCCACTAGTCCATTTGAGAAGGCTTTGACATTAGTTTTGTAGAGTACTTATCAAAACACAAATTGCTTTGTCCACAAAGGGTTAATGTCCTCAAATAAGTGATTCAAATTAAATAATAAATTAATTTTCCATAATCTTGCATTTATTGTATTATTTAATTGCCTTTTTATATTTTTCATATGAAATAAAAATTTTAGTGTAAACATTACTTTTTTAGAGAAAACAGCACTTTTTAAAAAGCTTTCTCTTTTAATGGTGAGTGGTGGCCATCTGGATTTTGGTTGAAACGCCACATGTCCAGTTCGACCCTGTCTGTCCACGAACATTAATTTAGTGAAATTCGATTTGAAACTTGATGAAGCGATGGATCCGGAGTTTCCGGTTAATGGCTGAGTTCGCCGTAATGGCATTCATCCGCCTCAATACTCTTGCCAAGGAGGATAAGTGATGTTTAATTATTATGCGATTCTGGATCTCTGGCAATGACTTATTGGACGATGCTGCACTCTCCTCCTCTCTGGCCCTCACCGAAATGCCTAATCGTCTTCGGTCAAAGGGAAATCGAGGATCCAGATCCCTTTATTACTGCACCAATCAATTCGTCATTGCGAATTCTACGAACATAAATTACAAACTCGAGATTGCATTTTGCAGTAGTTACTTAATGGTATTCAATTGTCTTACATGCAACATATCAAACAATTTTTATTTGTCAATTGCAACTAACTTAGATTAAGAGATTAAATAAACTATTTGGAAAAATAATATAAGCTTCCTAACATAAGCAAGGAAAAAATGCGTTTGCAGGGAACGTATCAGTAATTTGACTATTTATAGTTACTAATTTATTAATTTTTTATAGTTTAGTTGGAGTAATAAATATCATAAATTATTGAAAGATTTGTTGAACATCTACGAAAAAATATTTTTACAGTTGAAATAAAATATAAGACAAATATATTAATTGAATATTATGTGTGAAATAAGTATAAAAAATCATAGTTTTCGTGGAAATTTCACAAATTTTATACGTTGCGAAAATGTCACCTAAAAAATATTTTTTTTAATATCAAACTTCCTATTATAGAATAATGTAGTTTATTCATCAATAAAAATGTAATGTCTTTTTTAATAACCAATGCTTTTCATAGAAATATATCAATTTAATTAACATCCAAGTGAAAAAGTGGCAGTAAACCAAAATATTGATATTTTTATTATGATTATTTAAAATGCTGTAAATAATTCAATAAAATACTAAAAGTTTTTTAATTCATTAGTATTTTTGTGGATGTTAACTATTCATAATGTAATTATAACATATATATTGATTTCTTAATAAATAGATAAATATTTATTGTTTTAAGAGAATTACCACAAAAAAATGAAATTAAGAAAGAAAATATAGATTTTTAAATTCTATAATTTCTACATTTTCTGCATTTTGATATTGAAAATAACTTTGATTAATAAACTTAGAAATTGTGACAATGTAATAAAACAATTAACGTAATTAGTTTTAATAATAAGAAATAGTAAAAAGGATTCCCACCTAATCAAAAAAGTATAAATTTAAACTAATATCGGCTCGCATATATCAAAGATGTGATCACAGCGTCTTGCATACAACTTCACATTAGCAAAGTCTACTATGTAAAGAATAGGGCGGATATATCCGCAACCTGTTCAATATTAACAAAGGGTTTTAACGATTTAAATTGAAGAAAAAAAACAATTCAAATATATTTTTTTTTAATCACGTTAATTCGAATATTTTGTATCATAATAAGGCAAAAACTGGAATAAATTAATTGTAATTTACTAAATTGTTTTTATAAACAACAATACGAAAGTATACTTACGTAGAAAAATGAGTCAGTTTGTTACTAGCTATTAATTATTTTATATTTTAGTATGATTCTAAATAATAATAATTGATTGGCCAGATAAATACGTTCAATTAAAATATATAAATCCTAAATAAATACAAATGAAATGACTAAACAAAATAATATAAATTGATAAAAATAATTAATTGGCCAGTTTCCAAAGGAGATGATTCTATAAATACGTATTAATTTTTATTTGTCTAATAAATATTAAGGAAAAATAAAACAACTAACAGATAAATGTGATATAAAATGATATATTTTCTTATTTAGAAAATTGAAGATAATTCAATTAAATTTATTTTTCTGAAACTGGAATTCGCATTTTACACTATGAAGTTGCAAGTAGCTTCTATGTCATCTGCAGGACTTAATCTAAATCACAGCGATTAGAAGTTTGGAAATAGTTGCACGTAGGTATGACAAAGTGCGGAAGACAGAGCCAGAGCCCTTAACCCAGATCCAGTTCAAGATTCTTACCTTTCGCAGGGGGCGTGAACCGAGCGTCGCAATACTCTCCTGTGAATCCTGGTCCGCATTCGCATCTGACTGCGGAGTCCCCGATGTGCCTGCAATAATAAACATGCAAATCAGTATTTTAACAAGAAACAGTGTATATGTGTGTTTGGGGGTGGTTTCGGGTGGTGTTTTTCGGCGTACACGCGCGAAGAGCTCGGTATATGGGAAGACCGTTTCCAAAATATACAATGGGCCCTCGGAGTTCGTTCGTTTTTCGCGCTATCTCTTACACACCCTGTGAGCTGAATATTTATTTATTAAATTACATATAGCCTGGCTCCTCCACCAAGGAAACCACCCTCCGCGTTCAACTTAAATAAATATTGAGAGCGAGATAATTTGGGAATGTGCTGGTAGCTACAGCTATATGGTAGCTGCTTGGCTCCGGTGCCGTTCACGACCATTAAATATTCACTGCAATGGCACTACCATACCAATGCCAGCTCACTATTCGTGCTTGTTATAATAAGTTTAATGTTTTATCAAATATTTGCTTTTCCTACATATTATACTGAAAAACAGTCAAAGCACGAATATCAGTTACATCACATTACTCATTGACAATAAAATATCCATGACAGCATATTCATGGTTATTCTGTTCTATATTCATATTTACCCTAACTAATTCACTTTATCTACTTATTGAATAAATTAACATTATTATGACAAAAAGTCCATACATATATCTTTGAAAAATATAGATTTTGTTAATCTTTACTATACTTTAAAAAGATACCTAATTTATAGAATAATCTGAAAATTATACAAATCTTACACTAAATATTATTATGGTTAAAGTTATATTATATTTTGCTATTTGGAATGTTTCCGCTCATTGTTATTTTTTCTTGGAATTGCAACAATCCAGAATAGATCTAGAATAAGTAATAGTTGTGTGGTTAGATTTTTGTTCCCACATGATTTAATGCTGCAGCTTCATTTACATTTACTTCGTGGAGTCTTTTCGATGTTGTCTGTGTAAGGAAGTCTGTATTTTGTGTTTGCGTCATGTTATTTTCGGCAGGCGACATTTCTTTCCGTTTTCCTTACACCGTTCCTCATTCAGAGCATTCAACTTTGATTGGCGTATTTAATATCACCATATTCTTTTATATATTTTTTTATTTAATTTAATTTCTTAACAGTTTTGAATTTATTGTTATTTAATCAGTTGATTGTCACTATGTTTCACTTTTTTACATTTTGCAAAGTTTTTTTTTTAACTTTTGCTTTCAAAAAATAAAATTGCGGTCTTAAAAAGTTTTGCAATTTAGCAAAAGGCAAAAAACTATCATCAGGTGGTTTATCAAGAATAAACAAATACACGAACATTTCCATATAGATATGGTCCAGTTCTTCGCGAGCATCGACCGCAGCAACATGCCGTCCACCGAACGAACAACTACAAGTTATAGCGCCAAACGTGTGACGAGGAAGAAGAAAGGAGAACTTTCTCTCCAAACTCTCCAAACCCTGACGCCCCTTCATCACCCACGCCATCCACATCGTCGCAACGCCGTTGCCCGAATTCTCCCCGTAACACCTCTCCAAGACCGTACGCCGCCGCCCTCAGCAACACCGTACCTAGATTCGACAACAAGGCCAACACTCCGACATCTTCGCCTACGCCAGTCCAGGTTTTTAAGTGGAGAATTGATAACCTACCGGCCAACGAAGCAAACCCCAGGTCATTAATCAAGCTCCTGCGGACCAGGGAATTCGGACTCACTTTCGCAAAGGCTCCGGAAGATCTTAAGGTGAAAGGAACCACAGCGTTTATCACCACCACGAACGAGAAATTTGCTGATAAAATCACCAACCTCCCAAACCGACTGGGTCAACCAGTGCGCATCACCAATATTCTCGGCCGGAATCGCGGCAGCCAAGAACCTCATCCTCCACTTCGAAAGGCCCAGACGTTCTCCTGCGTCCTAAAAGGCGTACACCGCACCATCATAGAGGAGGAACTGATAGAAACAGGTAAGTATCTCCAAATTATGGAGGATGAGAGAGTTGGATGACAAGGTGGCGCATCAAACCAAATCCCAGCAAATCGAAGCTCGTAGGCTTCCACCGCTCATTGTGCACTCTCCGCTTCAAGAACGTCACCCCACAAATCTCGCTTTGGAACCAACAAATTGAGGGAACCGCCAGCTCTAAATACCTCGGAGTCCAACTTCACCGCTTCTAATAGTAGTATTAATAGATAAATGAGACGGTCGCAGAGTTGAGTAATTTTTTTTTAAATTAATTTAGTAAATATAAATAGTATTCATAACATACAGTAACACATGCGTTAGGATTATGCAATTACCAAGTCATAATCCTACGATGCAGTAAAATAAGAACTGCAACATGCCAGAATATGTGATAACCCAACACCTACAGAGGAAACTAATTGGAATAATAAAACAACAAATACCTGATGTAATTGAGAGAGAAGGTTCAATACTTTTATTATAAGCTATTTTATATCGTGCTAAATATAGTATAATTTATGCTTTAAGATAACCAATCATTGAAGTAATTATATTTTTTTTATAGAAATTGGTTAACATCAAGAACTCACCCACTCATTATTAACTCTATAAATTTTTCATCTGTTACAAAAACAACTATGTTCTAGCTATTAACCTACTCGACAACATTAGGGAATTTGTGACTAATGCCGTTAAGCAATCTAAATGACAGTCGCCAACAAGCTACTTCCCATCAAGCATAAAATCGAATTCTGGAGATACCCTATTCCTCTCAAGAGGGGAGAGCAAGACTAAGGTTGACGATACAGCATATTGTGGAGAACTGTAGTAAACACGCGACACAGCGCGCAATGGCAGGTCCAGGGGGTTTAAGTCGCTAGTTAATAAACTCGACACTTTTAAAAATTGCTGCCATAACAACACCAGTCTGAGTCAGCATACCAAATTAACAAAAAAAAATCACACACATACACATGCAGTGGTTGACATGTGTGTGTATATGTGTATGTGTACTTTTTATATATATTTTTTTTTTAATAAATAATTTTAAATTTATGAAATAAATTGTAAATAATTTTTAAATTTACGAAATATATTTATTATTTTTAGTAAATACATTAAAAAATAGTAATTAACAAATTGTCTTATATATATATACTCCGTACTTTAAGAACTTTGGTCTCTTTCTGTACTTTTCAGGAAAATGAAGATTACACACTTTCTTATTTTGCCTTATATACTTATTGTCCTTATCTTTCAGTGAATCGTTACTTGTAGCAACTTTTCACTGCTCAAATAACAAAGAATCAATAGGTGGAAATAATCTCAACCCTATTTTGTCTTCTTGTTTTGTAAAACATCCTTCAACGCAACAAGTAATAACCATCCTAATATACATACATATTTATATAAATAATGATGAAAAACTGTTACTTACTTGTTCACAGTCACTTGCTCTCACTCAATGTAAACAACACGCAAACATGGCCGAAAGCATAAATTTGAAAAGTATACGAATAGTTCCGAATTTATTCGAGCCTGCACGATTTAACGTCCAGTCAACGTACCAACCTTAAGTAAACAAAATAAAAGTGTCTAAATTTGCCGTATCCTTTTAGACCCCCTGGGTAGGTCTACGGGACGACCTTGTTGTCGATCTCGACCAGGGGGGGTTAAGCGGATAGTGCATTTCTCAAGGGAGTTGGCAGTACATTCGACACACAGCTAGGAGAGATAAAGATTTCGTATGAAATCGGAAGCCAATCGGAACCAATCGGAACCAATCGGAACTTTTTCAAATATTTATTTTTCGCTAATATAACTTTATGACTATGTCGAATACAGCAAGAAACGGTCAATACAGTTTGGGTGTCCATTGTGGCAATTTTGTGATTTTGTTCTCCAGATAAGATAAGTTGGATTTATCCTCAAAAAGCCAACACAAATTTGTGGTGGGCGATAAACCCGAAATGGGCCAAAGAGATTTATATCAATAATAATTTACATACAATTTGTTTTAGGTCATTTTGTTCTTCAAAGTGTACTATAGTTTATTAGAAAACTTGTTTCATTGCTTTAATTAACATATAATTTGTGTTAGGTCATTTTGTTCTCCAAAGTGTGCTATAGTTTGTTAGAAAACTTGTGTTTTATTCTAAGATTTATAATCAAGCAAGTAATTTTCCTTTAATTGTTCGCTTTTTTTAACATACATTTTGTTTTAGGATGGTTTGAAAATGCTGCGTCCAAGGATGCAATACCTAATAATCATGGTACTAAGATTTCTAGCAGTTGATCTCCATTCTTTGATTAATGGAAAATGGCCTCAAGGAATGCTTTTTTGTTTAGAATGAGCAACGAGCATATGAAAAGAAATACGAGAGTTTGCAGATAATTACAATAAAAGACCTCAGTTCTTTGCTTATGATATGCCAAAGTTAACAGAAAATATTTTGAAAGATCCAGAAATGGATATTGATAATATTGACAAATAACAGTGCAAGAAGTGGTTGAAATTGATAATGTCAATACTAGAAAATACTTAAATACTTAGAAAAATGAGAAATATAAGGCAAAACACTGCGAATTTCAAAAATTTCAAAAATTAAGTGAAACTTTGCAAAGAACGCTGGAAGAAAAATTTGAGAAGAAAGGTATTCTGTAGAAGATAAAGCATTGGCTTTAAATATTTTTAAACCAATCAAAAGCTGCTATAAATAGTTGTCACAAATTTTCAAACTACCCTCAATTAGTACAGTTCAGAACTTTACCAGTAGGATGAGAATAAATCCATAAATGAATGCATTTTCAAAATACTAAAGACACATATTAATGATAATAGTAACATCAAAGAAAGACTCGTCACCTTAATTTTTGACGTAAATAAATAGTCTATTATTTATCCAGAAGTGGTATGATCAGCGGTTTTGAGGATGATGGCCTTGAGAGAACTGACAGAATAGCTGATCATGCACAAGTCTTCATAATTAGAAGCATTTATAAAAAGTGGAAATTTATTGTATCATACACTTTTACTCAGGGAATAACTAAATCTCCAATAATAGTGAA